GGGGGTGGGGGACGGGGACAGGGTGTGTTATTCTGCTGTTCTGTGTTCTCTGAGATGCACGGATTCACGGTTTACTCTGTCTCCATTTTGGGGAACACAATTAGAATAAATGTCAGTGTGAGCCCAGAAAAAAGCCTCCCTGAAGGGGGAACACGACCACCTGGGGGCGCTCAGAACCCACTGAGCACCAGAGCCAACCTCAGGACAGGTGCAGATGGGGGTTAAGGTCTGGTTTCCTGTCAGCCCTGTGGCTTCCTCTCCATGAAACAGTTTCCTCTGGGGCACTTGTCTGGATTCCTCATCCTGTTCTTCCTGTGAAGTCTGTAAAGAAGAAATATTTATCATAACAAGAGAAAAATTTTCTCACATGCACCAAAGGCAGAGTCACCCACAGTCACTTACTCCTGTTTCTCAATGTCAGTAAGTTATCAAAGCTTCTGAATTTAGTCAGCTAAATCTAGAAAAGGTGTGGTGTTTAACTCAACACTGCAGCCCAGCTCAACAGAACCCCAAGGGCCAGTGGGCAGCAGGCAGGATAAAGTGCATGCCGGGCACTGGGGCAGAGGGAGTTCCCATCCAGTGCAAGAGAAGAAAGGCCCGTAGTGGTCACTGTCAGGACTCCAAGCCTACAGTACCAATTGTAGGTGCCCCCATGCCGAGGAAGAGAGACCCCACCAATGATTAGTGTGGGTGTCAAGTCTGACAGTGCCACACTCACACCTCAGGTGATCATGGAAAGATTTACCAACACTGTTATTGTCTGCTGAGAGCAGCACAGGCCTCTCAAGACATTCCAAGCTGGAATTTCCTCAATGGAACAGGAAAGCAGGCTGGATCAGGGATTTAAAATGATTTGGTGGTGGTGTCGGAGGTGGGGTGGGGGCGTTTCTACTCAGGAGAAGGAGTCTGTGTGATTTAAACTTCACACTGGCATCAGATAAGGGAGTTGACACTTTATTCTCTCTAGCAGCTTAAGAAAATGAGTGAAAAAGAGAGATAAGGGTCCAGTATGTGTGAAAAGCAAACAGACCTAAAGAAAATAATTTTTTTAATCGTGATAAGCACATAATAAAAAGAAAGAGAAGAAGGAATGAGACAGGCAGAGGTGCTGAATCAATGTCCTGGGGGAGCCTTTTCATTATCTACAGTTATCAATTTATTCTGAAGGTCTCAGGTCAGCTTCTTGCTTCAAAATGTCACTGGTCCTTATCGGGTATATAAAAATCCTTATAGGATATCCACAGTTTGTCATACTTTACTAAAGTAGTCTAGTAATTAAATGAAGTTCTGAATTTAATCTTCAGTTGTGTTAAATATTTAAAAATACCACAATCTACAGATTAGGAAACTGAGACTCTATTTTTATCAAGGGTTACAGCCATCCCACAGGCTGGAAAGCATAGTTTGGGTAAAGATGAGAGACTGACACTCCCAAGAAGGGTTTGGGCAGAAGCTTTATGCTGAATGTGTTGGTTAAACAGACATAATCCACAGGTTACAGGAGGGGCTACTGATGTTCATGGAGGTGGTGCTGACACATGCATACTGAACAAACACGCATGTAGCATATGAGCCCTGTTCACTTACCAGTGGTGACTGAGCATTTAAATTCATTACAGACAGGCCCTATGTGCAAATAGCAGAAGCAGAGACACAAAGGCGCTCAGTGTGCAGCCTCTGTAAACGGTTAGAGCCAGGCCATGGTCAGTGGTCTCTCATCAGGAGAAAGTTCCTCATATCAAATGTTCAGTCAAAGCTGGGATTACGCCTTGTGGAACAGGGCATCAGGGGATGGGCTGCGATTGTCTTCACAGTGCTTGTCTCAGTGCCAGTG